CGGGAGAAAGATGAGGCTTTCTACTCCCGTAAAGATTTACACCCTCGGAAACCCTGTACAGGGTCGCTATGAGTCGGAACCGACTTGACGGCACTTAACAACAACAACAACATTGTGGTGCTGTAGGATAAGCACTGGACTGTTAAACACAAGGTCAGTGGTTGAAAACCCATTAGCCACTCCTTGGAAATCCTACACAAGGTTGCTATAAGTTAAAAACAACTCAATGGCACTTAAGAAAAGCAATATCTGTAATTGAAAATAGGGCATCCAATCTCCTACTACTCTAACTGAAATCTTGTAGCTATAAGGAAAAAACCTTTTCCAGTAACCACAGATGACCATCTGAAGAAAAATGCAGAGACACATGATAGATATGTAAACACACAGAGAATTATTTTAGAGGTGTTATATTGGAATACCAGATATTTATATATTTGCATTATGATCATTCTGAGCCTGCTGCCTTTTAAGTTAGAGATTTATATATCAATGAAATTCCCTTATATAGTTGTTCATGTATTTCATAGTCTTTCTAATGCTCATTAAAATCAGACAGTCCTGCAAAACCTACCAGATGTTTGATCTCTTTATTGATAATTTATAGGCACTATTTTTTTTTCAAAATAATAATATTATCTTGGATGTACAATTCCTTTACATAATTGCTATTAATGAAGGAATTGTTTGAACATACAAAGTCTTTTAAAATAATCTAAAATATTTAAAAATTAGTTCCAAGAAATTATTTGCAAACTTTCTTAGATACTCACTGCCCACCCCAGCAGATTGTTTGTTGTCTGTTTTGTTATACAATCCAGACAAGATTTTAAAGAAATCTTTTAAATGAATTAATAAGTACATAAATTAAGTCAAACACATAGCATATGCATGTTACATATACACATTATGTTCATAAATATATTCTGGCAAAGAGAAGCTTTGAAAGAATGATTTTTGTTTTGTGTGTTAGATGAAGACTTAGTCCTTAATAAATAGAACATTAATAGGAATTTTAGTTATTGTTAGTCACTCTTAGCTGTCTTACATTGTATCTTCGGGTTAGACTCAATCTAAGCAGTGCTGAATCTCAGCATTCTGTATTTTCAAGCAACAGGAAAGTTGTCTGTCCTCTTAGGAGATAGTTTAGACAACACGCAATCATTTGTGGGGTTTGACAACTGTTTTGTTTGCTATTTTACTTTAGAGAAAAGCTCATACTCTTGAGAAAAGAAATGTATGTATTTGTATTTCTCACTTTAGGGACCTCAGTCATGTTGATGGTCACTGGAAACTGCACACATCTTAGAACGGTTGGAAATACTGGTTTTAGTCTCAGGGCAGCCAAATTTATCACACATGTGAAATTATAATGTTTACAGAATCAGAGGCTTTTCATAACATTGTACTAACTCATCATTGCCAATATATTTTGGGGTAAATATGTTGTTATGCAGCTTCAGTTTTCCAACTTACTTAGTTGAGAGACGGACTTAAGATTGACTGTACAGTGGCCGGTAACTAGAAAGGATGGCAGACAAGGATAAAGAACTTTTCAATCAGCCTATGACATGATCTTTCCATCATGAAGATACTTACAGCTTACTAGAAAGTGTGGGAAGATCATGAAGGATCTCTTCATACGGTTCCTCCTGGGCTTCTGTCAGGACAGACAATGGTCCTTGCAGTTTTCCATCCCAGGCAACTTCAGCTTTTAACAACATTTCCTCAATAAACTCAGATGCAGCAATATCTATAAGAAACAATATGTCCAGAAAAAATGAGTAGCGATATCACAGAAAACAATCTACTTTGAATAAATTTGATATGCTTAAATTGCGAATATGCATAAAGGCATAGAGCAAACTGAAAAGTATTAAACGTTTACTGTAGGAATAAAAATCACATTATTGCCATTTTAAAAGATCATCTTGTTTTATATCACTGACACATTTAATTACAAAAGAAATGAAAAATGATTCAAAAAATACTGTAATTGTTGCTGGATAAGTACAATGAAAAATAACTGAGAAACTCAGCTTGATATGACTTAATGTTGTATTATTCTCAATAAAACTCTTCCTGCATCTTAGGGCATATGAATCAAAATAATGGCAATAGTTTATCAGTAGGTTCTGACTCAAAGCCACCCTCTGCACAACAGAATGACACACTATCTGGTCCTGCATCAGTGTTAAGACAGCTGTTACAATGAGCCCATTGCTGCTGTCATTATGCCAATCTAGCTCTTTCGGGATCTTTTTCTCTTTTGCTGACCCTCCACTTTATCAAGTATGATGTCCTTCTCAAGGGACTGGTAATATTTCCAAAGCAGGAGAAACGGAGTCTTGCCATCTTGGCTTCTAAGGAGATTTCTGGTTGTTAGTTCTTCCTGCACAGAATTTGTTGGTGTTTCCTGCACTCCATAATACTTTCAAGTCGTCTCCAACCCCACACTTCAAACGCATCATTTTTTTTACGATCTACCTTATCCATTGTCCAACTCTCACATAAAAATGAGGCTACTGAAAATACCATGCATGAACCACAAAATCAGCAGTTCAAACATACCAGCTAGTCCTTGGAAACCCTATACAGTGTCACTATGAGTTAGAACAGACTTGATAGCTCTTAACAACAACAATAACAATATATTGCAGCAAGAATATCTATTCAGAAACACAATTATAGTTGTTAAATGCCCTAGCACACAAGCATGTATTTGGTATGATAAGAAAATAATTAAATAATACGAAGATAAATGTTAATATATAAGTGACCTTTGAAAAAATTGTTGTCCTTAAAGAATGAAAAACAAAATGCAACAACAACAAAAAAATGACTAAACTGAAGGAGCTCTGGTAGTGTAGTGGTTACGAGTCAGGCTGCTAACCCCAAGGTCAGCAGTTCGAAACTACCAGCTGTTCCACAGGAGAAAGATGAGGCTTTCTGCTCCCGTAAAGATTTACACCTCGAAAACCCTGTGTAGGGTCACTATGAGTCAGAACCAACTCCACAGTATTTAACAACAACAACAATATTCTGTTCTATGGAGTCCTGGGGAGATACTCTAAGATAAACACTGAATTACTAACTAGAAAGTGGGCAATCCAAAGCCACCAGCTACTTCTCAGAAATGCTGTGCGGGGTCACTATGAGTCAGAACAGGCTCTACAACAACAAAACATCCTATTCTAGTGAAATTGTGCTTATGATTTTCTGAAGTGTACTTGAACTGGTGGGTTTCTACATAGCTTCCCAGGATGATCTGACCTTCGTTTTGTAGCAACAATAATTAAGGATGAACTTCAATGTGATTGGAAGAAAAGAGTAACTGCTCAGTGATCCCAGGGTGCTCATAACCTACCAGAAGGTTTCTCTTCATTGCAGTTCAGAAGGTGTGGGTTTGCCTGATGCATCAAAAGAAGCTTAACCAGGGTTGTCTGAAACATTAAATAGAATTGAAATAGCAAATATGAGTAAGACACAAAATAATCAGTAAATAATACCAATTACTGCTTGCTTTTCAGGGACACTTGTAGTTTAGTAGAATGCCATGGCATTCGTTTTGCACTAAATGTTTCCTACTATCCCTTTTCCAGTTCCTTAACAAAATACAGATATTTATGTTTCTTTCAAAAAATGACTTGCTAAGCTAATACATAGATTAATGCATTCAAAATAAAACTGACTTATCAAATGAGTAAGCAGTCACAGAGGATTTGAAAAGTTTCATTTCATAGTTCAGGTTTACGTTAGAGAACTGTACTTAAGAAATAAACTCTTATTTCTATACTGCTTTTGTTTATTTTATTAACATTTTTCAAACTCCTTAAGATGACCATTAAGCTCATTAATCTTTTTAAATAAATATGCATTTATTTTATGATTTACCAGCTCTACCTCATTTTCCAAAGCAGTACTTTTTCTATATTTCACAGGTTGCCATATATGTTGTCTATGTTATAATTCTGTTCTTAAATATCTTTAAATTTTGTTTCCACTTACATTCCTGGAATTCTGGTGTGGCACTACAGGGTAAACACTGGACTGCTAGCCACAAGATTGGTGGTTCAATCCTATAAGCTGCTGATTACAATCAAATACAGGGTTGCTATGAGTCAGAACCACTACTTATTTGTTAGTGTATCATACTGACCTAGTTTGTGTGTTGCTGTGATGTCGGAAGCAAAACCAAGGGACATTTCAGTGGAGTTAGGGCAGACTGCTTCTAAATGCTTAAACAAAGAAAATCTTATGAATGGCAGCAAACCATTGTCAGATACAGTGTAAGATGATGAGCACCTCAAGCTGAAAGACACTCAAAATATGACTAGAAAGAGCTGCCTCCTCATAGTAGAGTTGAAATACTGATGCCAATGGAGTAAAACTTTAGGGACCTTCAATTGCTTATAAGACAAAACACAAACTAAGAAGGAATAACTGCAAATATCCATTAATAAAACATGGAATGTACAAACTATGAATCTAGGAAAAATGGAAGTTGTCAAAAATGAAATGGAACTGAAACAATGAACTGAAACAGACTGGTATTCACCATTTTGAATAAGACAATCATATGGTTTACAGTGCTGGGAAAACAGACTAAAAAGGTGAGGCTTCATCTTCATCTTCAAAAATAACATTTCATGATCGGTCTTGAAGTACAGTGCTGTCTATGATAGGATATCCATATGCCTACAAGGAAGACCAGTTAATACCACATTGTTCGGATATACACACCAATCACTAAAGGCAGTGATGATGAAATTGAAGAATTCTACCAAATATTTCAGTCTGAAATTGGTCAATCATGCAATCAAGAAGTACTGATAATGACCAGTGTTGAAATGGAAAGGCTAGAAACTATGAGGAAGGATCAGTAATTGCAAAAGATGACCCTGACGATAGAAATGATGCTGGAGATGGCATAATAGAATTTTACAAAACCAATGACTTATTCATTGCAAATGCCATATTTCAGCAATAGAAAATGTGATTATACACATGACCTCACCATATGGAATACACAGAAATCAAATGGACTACATCTGTGGGAAAAAGAAGTAGGAAAAGGTCAATATCATCAAAACAAGACCAGGGACTGACTGCACATCAATTGGTCGTATGCAAGTTCAGGCTACAGCTGAAGAAAATTTAAACAAGTCGATGAGAGGCAAAATATGACCTTGAACACATTCCACCTGTATTTAGAGATCACATCAAGAATACATTTGAAGGAACAAACAAGATGGCAGATCGGG